ATAACCTTAGAAGATGCTACTTTACATGTAGGAACAGAATAAACGTTTCAGATTTTTTTAAGCATTCTCAAAGTGTACCTTCTTCCAACCTTTATCATGTCCTCTTTCTTGCAATCAGACAGAAGATGGAAAGAAGGACAGGAAGAAACTACTTTTAAAAACCCTTGATAAGTGGTACCTAAAGATTGTAACCAATGAAAATGCCTGCTAACAAAACTAGGCAAGCGGAGGATTAAAATTACTCAGTTGCGCTGTAGCTAGCTATTAAAATACACCTCAGTAGGCTTAAAACTGTACCTTTCATCATTTGTTTTCTTTGCCACAGTCTGTCACAGCATCATATAATGCAAGTTGGTTCACAATTCATTCTAACAATGCCCATAGGTAGAACAGTCTCTGTGACCTCTGGCACTCTAAGAATGAGTAATGGATCAGACACTAGCAAGAAATGGAAATATTCTTTGTTAGAGCCATAGTACTCCTTATTTTGCATTTCTTTTGGTATCAGATTTTCCCTCACAACACACACATGCAGAGCACACTAATTCTCAATTCTCTTCTTTTTTGTCATAACCACCATAGCACGTGTTTCAGAGTATTTACTTAGATGTGACAGCATTCAGCAAATGGAATTTGGCATATTTACACCCCTTACATATGTAATTTTATTTATGTAATTAGTATGTATATTACATATAGACCCCTTAGCAAGAAGGCTAGTTTCTGAGAAAACTAGTTCCAAAGTTTTTGCCATATGGCTTCAAACAGCCAGTCAAGATACAGAATTGACAGCTCTGTCAAGAATTTTAGAGACATAATTTGACTTGTTTCATTCCCACGCATCATTATATTAAGTAATGCTGTCTGAAGGCTATAAAAAACTTTTCCTGCTTGGCAACATAGGACTCCTATCTTTTTTTATTATCTATATTTTAAAGATACCCTGAATAGTTTTCCAAAACAAGAAAGCTATGGCATTTAGTTTGACCTGCCTTTAAAACACACAGATGTATACAGAGTACCAAAAAAAGTACAGAGAACATAATATGGGGGGAGGAGATGAAAAGCAACAGAATCAGTGAAAAATTGCCATGAGGATTAAGAGTGAACACTACTAAAAACCTAGCTCTTTACAGGGAGGAAAAAATACATTTTAATCTGATTAATGCATCCTGATTTCTAAACTGAAACATTATCAAACAAAGACTTAAAAACTGCCTAAGACTGGTATCAGACTATCATCACAATCATCCTAGAGGCCAAATAAAGAACACATTCAGAGAAAAAATTGATACCAATACCATCATTCTAATTCACTAGTATTAGATAATACAGCAGAAATAACATAATAAAGGCACTGCCACATGAGTGAAGATTCAAAGAATCAATTAATGCAACAGGATATACATAATTAATAACCCTGTGCAGCTGAAGACTGCCTACAGCTCAGTGAAAAATAAAAAAAAATTACATGAGAAAATTATCACATAGTACAGATTTAGTTTAACTTTACAGCTCTTATTCACTTTTCAAGACAATAACAACCTATCAAGTAAGCAGTCTGCAGCAAGAAATTTTTGAAGATTTATGTTTAAAAATGAATACTTTTCCTCCATCAATTAGAAGTAGTGCTCAATATGCTACAGAAAACTTCACCTAACCAGTATTCTGGGAAATCCTTTTTCTCTTGCTCTAACAAACTTCATTTGGCTTGTAATTCTAAGGAAGCTATCAGCTAGTGCATTACCACCTACACCTCTCGCATAGAACTGACAGACCCAGAACCCAAAATACTAGTTTTTAACAAATTGTAGTATGCAGGCAAGAAGAGAATCTGGTTGAAGAGAAATAACATGACAATACAGGCAAAGTATCTGTAAGAAACTACTTCTCACAGTAACCACTGGTCTGGAATCCAAATCGAGCACTGCTGCAAACTGAAAAATGCAGTGGCCTATCCTCTCAAAAGCAGTGATGAGCTTAATTAATTAGTAATATTATGAAATAATAACCCTGGACAAACAGCTCCCCAATAGTTTTGGCCATAAGTTAATGAATCCTCAGTTCTTCCTTCAATTTACCCAAAGGTTCCAATGTTTGCATGATGTGTAAACCATACCTCTAAATAAAACAACTGACAATCATTTTATATTGTCTTAAAACAGAAATGAAGGATTTGTGTTTGGTCCTTCTCACACAGGCTACAGAAAACAGACTTAATGGCAGCATTTCAGTATTTCCAAAATACTAAACTTCTAAGTATCAGACACAAGAAGAGACTCAGAATTATTTTGCAAGTTGGATTCTAGTAGAACACCTTAAAAGAAAGAGAAAATCCAGTGAGATCTTTCTTAGTTATACTGCAAACTCTATCCTGTACACAGGTTCCCTGAACACCCTCTCATGCTGGAACAGAACTATCAAGGTCTCAGTAATCCTTATTATGACACTGATTCTGCATTTGGATCCAGATGAGCAATCCCATGCATACACCCACTAAAGCCATCAGAAAGAAAAATCAGAGGTGGTAGGTGTACAGAAAAGCACATAGTAAGCACAAGCATGAAATACTGACATATAATCTGATTTCTAAACTAATATGTAGTCCTGAACATCACCTGAATAGGTAAAACCCCCTACCAAACATGAGTAACAACCAAAAAACCCATATACATCTGTATAAGAAAAAAAAATAAATTAATCTGTATTCATAGAATCACATAATGGCTTGGGTTGGAGAGGACTTTGAAGATCACTTCATTCAACCCTCCTGTTGTGGGCAGGGATGTGTCACTACATCATGTTGTTCAAAGCCCCATCCAGCTCAACTTTGAACACTTCTAGTGATGGGGCAACCAAAACTTCTCTGGACAACCTCCTCCAGTCTCTAACCACCCTCAGTGTAAAAATAAGTTATTCCTTATATCCAGCCTAAACCTTCAGTTTAAAATTGTTGCCTCTTGTCCTGTGACTACAGGCTTTGCTAAAAAGTCTATATTCATCTTTCTTGTAAGCCCCCTTTAAGTGTCAAAAGACCACAGTAAGGTCTCTCCAGAACGTTCTCCTCTCCAGGCTGAAAACCCCCAACTCTCTTGGCCTTTCATCATAGGACTGAGAAAGTAAAATTCAAGCTCAAAATCAAACTACACCATAGAGTCTACACTCACACTCAAACTGATACTCAACTTGCCATCTAGTCTAGGAAAAAAAAAAAGGGTGAAATGATGGTTTAACTATATGTAGAGGCACACACCTCCATTTAAACCTCCCATCATGCTAAAAAGCAATGCACTCTGATATTTTGGCAGCTGTGTTTCTGCAAGCTTAAAAACAAATCACAGCTTAAAACTGCTTTATATGGGATGTAAAATACTAGTAAAATGGCATTCTCTTTTATAAGATCACAGTGAAGTCACAAAGAATCTAAAAAACTCTCACATATACTGTAAGCATTGTAAGTTGCAGGACTTACAAAACTGCATACAAGAAACAGAGCGATTTCATCCCCAAACTAGGTCACAGAAGGACCACAGGTGTGCATGGTACAAGCTCCAAGTAAAAGAGGATCAAAGGTGGTATAATTAGATTTTCATATGCCAAAGAGTCAGCACTAAAATATATATTAGTGCATAGTCTGTCTGAAGAAAATCTCAGACAGCTGCTTTGCAGGGTATCTTCAGAACTGTCTTCCATTCTGCACATTTACACTGTTGTCTTGGAAGTTAGCTTTATAATCTTCCATAACTTCACTTTGTTTTCAAATTACTTACCTCCTTCAATGGACAGTTATAATTTCCTATATACTCACAATATCACTTAAGCTTTGGGACTTTTATGCTTGGCATTGGTAAATACTATCTCAAAAAGGCAGAAGCCCAAAATGTCTCTTCAACTCAAATTTTCTTTGCATATTTACATCAGTCATTTACTTGGTTAGGTTCATGAGTTACTGTAATTTTGCACATGAAAATTCTACAAATTTGGTGTCAAGAATTACAGTTTTACAAAGGATGAAGCTTAAATACCTTACAAAAATTATCTGTGACACAATTCTGAGTATCTTTAGTCTGCTCCACAGACTAGATCTTGTCTTTGATCTTTGAGATCTTGTCTTCTCAAAATTCTGGGTTTATTTTGGAGTAAACCTGCTGGTATAAATTTTGTTGTTCTGTCAGTGTATCTTGTGCACCTTATATATAAAATCTATTTTCTATGTATATTTTATTCGCCAAATAATAAAGAAACAAAGAGTCTTATTCCAACATACTACAGCAATGATACAAAGCGAGAATAATTGAATCAGTATTCCACAACTCTTTTGAACCATTTGATCCTGTCTAACATCAATGTGTTCTCTACACATCTTCTAGTCCAGCTTAAGGCTTATTAGGAATCAAAAGAAGGACGTCACTATACCTTATCATAAATGTAGACATTTAATGAGACAATTTTATGACATAATGAGACTTCCTTAGCATGCACCAGTTTTAACTGTTAACAGGCACATATGAAACAAGATTATTATTCCATTATAGGAAAGTATCTCAAAATCGTAGTAAGTTTCTCACAACATGCACCATCCAACCAGCTTACAAAATTGAAGATGGCAGGAGCTCAGATACACTTTAAGTACCGAGTATCAACAGGCTGATGAACTAAACCAGTGAGCTAAACCACAACTATTCATGAGCACATTTTAACATTGCCCTATTGTAAAGCATGTTCACAAACATATAAAAATGCTAAGTAGGCTGAATTACTTCACATTCCTAAATACAGACAGGCTCCAACAGTTACAGCAGCTCAGCTAACATGTAACATATCTGTCAGATAACAGAACTCCACTGTTTCAATTCCATTTTTCTACTCCCTACTAAGTAACCCTTCAAATTTTCAAGTACATTGGCTTGTCACAAACTTTGCATCTTAGTTTAAACTCCTTGCTTTTAAACAAACCTGCATAGCTTTATTATGTGTTAGAAAAAGACATTATGTCTTACCTTCTGAGGTGTCAAAACCCTCTGTCTGAACTTTTCAATCGTATCTTGACCTGCAACTGCCCATGCACTGGCAAATGCTTCAGCTTTGTCTTGATCCAGGTGAATGCTTTGCAGCTGTTGTTGCAATGAAGCAGGCTTCAAATTGTGATAGACTGCCTGATAAAAGGAAAAATAACTGCTGTTGTTGGGTACCGTTCTGTAAGTTGTGCCAGACACACTCTACCACAGATGGCCACCATGTTCACACAAGATTTTTCCTAGCAATTCTGCTGTGGGAATGCAAGCATTCTGTTCATCTTAAGTCTCTGGCTGAGAAGACAGAAAAGCATAACTATGTCAAATCTTGATTGTATTTCAAAATGCAATACTCCAGATTACTCTTCTCAAGATCTATAAACTATGAAAAAGTGCTTATATAAGCTAGATGTATCCACTGCACATTACGACAAAGCAGCTATTACTGAAAAAAACTTGTGATTAGAAGTCAGTTGTTATCATGAAGAAAGGACAACTTTTCTAAATTCACACTGTTCAAGAATGCCTCAACTACAAAATAATATTCTGAAAAGACAGGAATAGTCTGCCAAAATGCAAGTTAGATATAAGCTGCCTATCAGCATCAATTTTTTGTGGTAAACACTCTACATAGCATGTTGGTCTCCTCTTTCAAAATAGGACTTTGTCAGCACCAGGATGGGGAGAAAAAAAGAAAAAAAGAAACAACTCACGCAGCAAAGATTATGCAACAGCCTTAGTAGCTATAATGTGGTCAAAGAACAAAGGGCTGCGAGAAAAGTTATACTCTGACAGAGCAATCTGCTTCTAAGCTATTAAGAAGTACACTTGTAAGAGGAAACACCAAAGGGACTCTTCTTTGGACAGATACTAATATCTTTCCCTTTTATTTTTTAATACAAAATAAATTCTAGAGGAGACTTAACTGCTTTTCTTGTTCACCTTCAGAAATTATAATATAAATTAAGCAGTCTAATGAAATCAAGGAATAAAGCAGTAAAGTTTGTTGTTTGGTTGAGATGAAAATTCAAATTTCAGTCTGGATGTGACCTCAGGTTTCGTTTTGATTTTTCAGTGGATGTGAACCATATGGAAGGAATGTTTTTCTATTTTCTTTCTAATCATGTAGACTGCAGAACCACAAAAACTTCTCAGTTTACAAAATATTTAGCTCTACACCATGCAGTCACCAGCTCATCCAGATGCTACATCAGGTTCAACTACTCACCTAAGTACAGGCTGCTTCTGCACATGACAGTTTCCCATAACTGACACTTCATGTAACTTAAGCAATGCACAATAATGACACCTACTATTTTCCTTAAAGGAATAAAAAAAAATGCCCAGCTAGCTTACTTACAGTGAGTAAAGAGGGAAGACTACGTATCATAATAATCAACAACTCTCAGAAAGCAGAGCTTGCTTTCATCATCTAAAGTTATATTAGCTGGACATTCACTCCACAAATGCAATGAGTCCAATCCCAATGAGGAAGACATGAAAACAAAAGCAGTAAAATTATACCTCTAAAACATACATAATACACTACAGAAATACTTTTTCACTAATTCCTTTTTAATTTGACTTCTATATTTTTAAAATCCTCAATTGGTTAAAAAAATACAAATTTATCAATTCATAAGAATAGAAATAAGGTACCTGTTCCAAAATGAATGATACAGTTTCCAGAACTAGATGAAGATCCTGCTTTTCCAATGAAAAAGCAGTTTGAAGTTTTTCTTCTTCTTCTTCACTAAAGCTACTTTCAGCCTGAAGCACAAAAATGGTTAGTCCTAAGATTCCATTGAACTTCCAAGAACATGCTTGCCCAAAAAAACCAAAACCTTTCTCCCCCCTTCTTATAAACATGGTTGCTTTTAAATAGAAATAACAAAGTAAAGCTCTTTTCCAACAGAAAAATACAGTGTAATACCTCTCACTAAAAATCAAAATTAAAAGCCAACAGTATCAGATGAAAATTTACCAGGATTACTTGAAATATGTTGAAAGAGAAAGCTTTCTCTTTGCACCTAAGACATACTAAATAAGTATTTTTCTTCTAACTGTCTGATGATATGCAACAATATTTATAAATAAAAATGAGAACAGTAAGAAGCGAGTTACTTGGATTAGAACAAAAAGAAAACAGAAGGCAAAACTGTAGTGAAGTCAGTTACACAAGCCTCTTCCACACTCTTCTTAAAACGACCCATGCTGTTACATAGAAAATAAAGGCCTAATACATGCTAATTTTGAAAGTCAGATTTGAATCCATAGCCTACTGAACTACTGAAGTTTACTGAGAATGTGCTAGACTTTAAAAGTACAGCAGTTATATTTATTGTACCACAGCAAATTAAATAGTAATCTAAATGCAGATATTGCCATCTTTGAAAATGTAATTACTAGTAAATCTATTTCACAGACATCAAAATACCATATTTAGACCACTTAGTAATCCAAAACTGCAAAGCTACACAAAAAACGCAATTGAGCTGTCAGAATAAACAAAATGAGGCCATTGCAGAAAAACTTCAATGATAGCAACATCTGTAAAAAGAGCATCAAAATCGAAGCACTGTTTGAATCTTTAGCTGTGAGAAGGAAATGCAGTTAAGACAATTAAGCTTATTTAAAGTTTGCAATGATTTAACATGCCCTAGAGTCACATGCTTGGGAAAGACCAGCTGAAAGATTAATGAGATTGATGGAGTGGGCTAAATTAAAAAGACCACACCACCCCTTGTAAACTATGAATAAAATTGTAATGAGCTACTAAATGAGTAGCTAAAAAAAAAAAGTTGATAACACTTTACAGTTACCAATTAGTTAATATCCATGCAAAACAACTGAGAAAACTCTCTGCAATAAAAGCAGCATCCAAGCTAATAATTACGGTAAGAATAAAATCAGCAACTGAATCAAATAATCAAAACACTTTTTGCAGACTCAGAATTATTACAGAATTTAAGACATTTGCATTTTCTCTCCATCCTGCTCCTAACTGGTTATATTTTAATATCTAGTTTTTCTATATGTGTATTGAAAATAAATTCTGTATTTTAAAATATTTCTTCCAAACATGAAACAAGGGAATAAACCATAATCAACATAGAAAGATAATTAAACTCAACAAAATAATTTCTGTTTTAAGATTTATCTTACAGCTTTCTCAGCAATATTTAGTGCCAATGTTACATTTAACCTCCGTTTGACTTTTTGGTCCTGTGTGATGAAACTGACTACTGATTTTCTTCCTTTTTTTCATGCATTATTTGATCTACAGTGAAAAAAATAATAAAAAAGGAAACTTTTTGTAAAGATGAGAAAAACATCCACTTAAAGTTATGGACTTAATTTTTAACCTCAGTTCCACAAATGGCCTTGGTTGATGGACATTCTCATTTCTTCCAGAAATGAGGAAAAAAAAATAATTACGTATGCATGTATTCTTTCCCCTGTGAGGGCAAGAGGAGAGTTTGTACAAACAGCTAAGGAACGAGCATCTCCCCTGACAGCGACACCAGCCTGGGGAGACGATGGAAGCGGGTTACGACAACCATTACTAGTCCTCTTTTTCATCACTAGTTCTCAGCTTATTCACCCAAAATAGTTCTGTTTAATTAATTAAATTGAGGTCGAAAAATACACTAAAAATTGAAGCAGTTGTCCCTCAGAGAAGCTCCTGAGGGGCACCTGCCCCACGAGGGAGGGGCTCCGTGTCCCTGGGCCAGAGCAGGGACAGAAGTCCCGGCGCTGCTCCCTCCCAGCCCAGGGCAGGCGAGGCCCGGCTGCCGGGAGAGCAGCGGAGCTCGGCGGGCCGCTCTGCCTCGGCCACGCCGGTGCTGCCTC